TGTGTGTGTGTGTGTGTGTGTGTGTATGTGTATGTATGAGACCCAAAACATAAAATGAATAAACAAATAAAATATGCATCTAAAAATAAACCTCAAGAATAATGTCATTAATAATAACAAACAAACTACTTAATTTGTTTTACTTACATTAAACACTAAAGATTTAGCATTTAAGAAGAAGAGCTCCACTGTCGTATTTTCTTTCAAAAGGGTGATCTTCTCAACATAAAACCTGTAAGAGTTTATTTTAGGTCAGTAAGATTAACTGGAAACTGAAAATCAAAGCATCTGCACGTGTTCAGCATTCTCCACAGATAATACTTCATCTTGTCTAGAGTTGTTAAGATTGTTTTGATTCAAACAGGAACACATGTTTGTGCTGCATCGCTGCCGCCTGCTGGTTGGGACAAGTCATAGATCTTAAAAAGGGACAGCTCAATATGTCAGTTTCAGATTAACACAGTCTTTTATGTATAAAGCAGAAGTTGCAGGAGGATTTATGTTTTTGATTTGGCACACTCTTCCTGGAGCAACACTCACCTCACAAGGAACTTGAGTTCCAACGGCCCTGATGTCTTGGAGAAGTCATGATCGAGGACTTTACGATCCAGCTGCAGCCAGTTATTCTGGCCACTGCAAGGATGAAATAAGAAATCACATGTTGGCAATACCCCCACACAACTGTTCTTAAAATATTACTAATACAAGCAATGGACTTGCTTGTTATCTGTGAAGCACAATCCAAAGTAGTCTTTCTCCTTCAGGTTAAAATGTGAGGCCACCAAATCGAGCAGATCACGGGACAAAAGCTTCGGCTGGAGGATTCGGGATCAAACACAGGAGAACGGTTTAGATCATGTGTTTGAAAACTAAAACCGAACAGTGGTGTAAAACGAAAATGGGAATTAGCTTAAAAGAAAAAAATTAAGAACCTAACTCACAAAACATTTCTCTGACAGAATTAAAACAAGGTACCTGAACCAGCAGCTCCAGCTTCCTGCCATCAAGGAGGAGAACCTGGGACAGACGACCTTCTGTCATCTGTGGAGAAAAACAAAAACAAGAATCACAAGAACTTGTTCAAAATATCTCATCTCTACCTGCATGGGTTTGCTCCCGTCAAGCCATCTCTTGATGAGAAATGATCAAACCTTAATACGGTCTTGATGGATGTGTTTTTGCTCTCAGGGTGTGTTAAGTATGACTCTCATCTACTACCACACCAGATTTGAGTTCAATATCCAGAAAACTGACTGTGCTATACCCACTTATGTGTTAGCCGTGGTGACCATCTTAAAGTGTGCTGACTCCAAAAGTTAATCAGTTCTAGATGTATGTCCAAAAAGACTTTGAAAGAGTTTCATTGAAATTTGTCCAGCGGTTCTTGAGCCATTTCCCTAACAAACACTGCAAAAGAATAAATGCTAAAATTTTAAGTCAAGGTGTTGCCCTTAGAGCATTATACTCAGTTACTACACCAAATTTTAGCTCAACATCTGTAATGTTGACAGAGCTATAGCAATGGTTGTGTTCACCAAATTTGCTTTGCTGTGGCAGCCATCTTGAATACTTGACTCCAAAATTTATTTAGTGAAGATGTGCATCCAAATATTATATTCTAATAGCATTTTTTCCTCAAATCTATCCAGTGGTTTATGACATATTTTGTATACAAGACAGACAGATGTAGAAATAGAAACAGAAACATAATCATCTTTCTGCTTTTGCAGTGTGTGATTAAAATCACATGGTAAAACCATTGTGAGATCAMTCTTCTAAACTACTGAAAAAACATGGTTTATGTTTCCCCAATGGGATCCTACACTGACGTTTGTTTCTTCTATTCACATCTTCCCTCTGCAACAAGAAGGCTCTGTGTGCCAACAAAACAGTCATCGCACAGATTCCTCTTTTGCGACGAAACAAAACTAAAAGACAAAGCAGCCGTGTTTCACTGAATCCCTGTTCTTTTTATAATAAATGGCTTCAAGCTTCGTTCTGTTGCAGTCAGCAGAAGCTTTCAGTGAAGGGAAAAGTGAAATAAGGAAGTGTTCTAATGAAAACTAACCCAAACCTTCTTTCACTGACTAAACTACTGCCAACATTTAGCTTTCATGTAAACATTTTTTTTTCACTATTTGAACAAAGTTGTGTGTCGTGCTAATAAAGTCTAAGAACAGCAGGTTTGATTAATTGAATCAATGTTCAGGCTCTTTATGTCTTACCTGGTGCTTCTACAACAGTAATAAAAAGAATCCTCTTTATACCTGTACATTTAGGAGGTATTTTAAAATATTACAGTAATGTGTCCTACCATCTGTATGCTGATGACATACAGTTGTACTGTTCCTTTCGACCCTCTGAGTTCTTCAAACTATCTGAACTCAGTAACTGTCTGTCAGAAGTCAAAATATGGCTGAACAACAACTACTGTACCTGCAGTTACATGCAAACAAGACTGAAACTCTTATTATTGCCCCTGATGATAAAATCCCTGTAATCAGGCATCACCTTGCTTTTTTAACCCCTTCAGTGAAAAAT